GACACACACACACACACACACACACAGACACACACACACGAAGTCTAATTTGTACAGAAATAAAGTGATGTTGATTAGCTGGTCGCCATTAACTGATTTAGCATGACTATTCGATTTCTTCTGTGACATCACTTCTTGCTGACTTCATTCCTAAGATGTTTGAGCATGACATCGTTTGTTTAAGCCCAAAGCTCTGATTGGTTCATTACTTGACGACATGGGTTGAGAGCAGCAGTCATGTAAACTCTTTTTTATGGCACTTAACTCGATCGCTGCTACACCCGGTAATCCAAGTAACCTAACCTTCACGATCAATTGAATTTAACGGACGATAACACTTGTCTGAGGCGATAATAATGACGTCAGCTTCACCATGACAACAGTGACGTCAACTAATCTCCTCCAATCAGTGTGTGTGTGACGTCAACTAATCTCATCCAATCAGTGTGTGGACAATCAGGTAAGCCATGATAGATACTTTACAACCCGTCAAATGATATATCCAACAGGTAAAAAATTCCTCTAAGAATTTTACGAGCAAGTTGTGGTAACGATATATATTTTTTGGATATACTTTGGGTAATTTTCTCTCTCTCTCTCTCTCTCTCTCTCTCTCTCTCTCTCTCTCTCTCTCTCTCTCTCCAAAAATAATTATAATAGTAATAATCAAAACAATTAGATAACCTTTACTTGTCCTTCCTGGGATGGTTATTTATATCAGCGTAAAGAAACAGTCTTCTTCCTCCTCCTCTTCTGCCGCCTCTTCCTCCTCCTTCGCTTCTTCCTCCTTGTCTTCCTCTCCTCCTCCTCCTCCTCCTCTTTCTCTTCTCTTCTTCCTTCTACGTATCTCCCTTCACCTCTTCATTATTATGATCTTACTCTTCCTGCTTTCTTATTTTCATCTTCCTCTCCTCCCTCTTTCTTTAGTTCCTCCTGCACCTCCTCCTCCTCCTGATCTCCCTCATTACCTTCTTGTCTCTACACTATAATCTCCTTCCTCCCTCCTCCTCTTTCTCAATCTTCCTTACTCCTCCTCCTCCTTTCATCTTCCTTCCTCCTCTCTCATTATCTTCTCTCTCCTCATTATCTCCCTCCCCATTATCTTCCTCCTCCCCCATTATCTTCCTCCTTCTTCCTCCTCCCCCCTCATCTTCCTCCTCCCCCTAATTATCTTCCTCCTCTCCTCATTATCTTCCTCCTCCCCATTATCTTCCTCCTCCCCTAATTATCTTCCTCCTCCCCTCTCATTATCTTCTTGTCTCTACACCATTCCACCTCCCTTCTCCTCCCCCCTCTCCTTCACCTCTTTCTCCATCTTCCTCCCCCCTCCTCTTCCTCCCTCCTCCCCCCTCCTTCCTCTTCCCCTCCTTCCTCCTCCCCTCCTTCCCCTCCCCTCCTTCCTCCTCCCCTCATTATCTTCCTCCTCTCCTCATTATCTCCTCCCCATTATCTTCCTCCTCCCTCATTATCTTCCTCCTCCCCTCTCATTATCTTCTTGTTTCTACACCATTTCCACCTCCCTTCTCCTCCCCTCTCCTTCACCTCTTTCTCCATCTTCCTCCCCCCCCCCTCCTTCCTCTTCCCCCTCTTCCTCCCCCCTCCTTCCTCCTCCCCCTCCTTCCTCCTCCCCTCCTTCCTCCTCCCCCCATTATCTTCCTCCTCCCCCCTCATCATCCTCCCCCCTCATTATCTTCCTGTATCTTCACCATTTCCTTCTCAACACAACAGCTGCTCGCGGCGTTCATCACACCTACACTACAATCACACTCTGTTACCGCCGCCGCCCGCCCCCAACTAGACGGTAATGCGGTTAATACTAATGGTTTATCACTCCAGTTTTACCTCTAGTGTGACGGCCTTAATGATATTAGATCAGGTTTAATGGTTTGTTGTGTTTTAGGTTTTTTTTGTGGTGGTGTGTGTGTGGGATATAAAACTTCAAGTAATAAAGGGGGGGAGGTAGAGAGAGGGAGGAAGAGGTAAACAAAGAGAGGGGGGGAGGGGGAGGGGGGGCGGATGTCTCCAGCTTATCGTTCTCGGGGTTGTTATGGCGTAACCACTGAAAATTAACTCAATTTGAACCTTCCCAACACAACATAAATGGTGGACGAGACGTGACGATACGTTAACTGTCCATCACAGGGAAAATAAACGTGTATATACAGCAATATACATTATATACGGACGTGACTGTTTATATTAGGTAGTAGTGGTCCTCTCTCCTCCGGTAAATGGTTTGTGTGAGAGAGAGAGAGAGAGAGAGAGAGAGAGAGAGAGAGAGAGATTCACATTACTCGTGACTTTATTAATCTTGTTGTCAATGTAATTAATTCAGGTTCGTAAGATAAGTTATCACGTGTGTACGATACTTAAGGCTGTAAGACGTGTGTGTGTCGCTTGGGTATATAACAGTGTATGGGTGTAGTCGATACATGGGGTTGTACACAGTGTCTAGGGATATATGTATCATGGGGAAGGGAAGGTGTGCCGTGGGGGGAAGGAACTATTATGGGGAGGTGCTACGTGAGGGGGCGCTATATACCCCACACTCAAGGAACACAACATAACGTCCACAGTGGGAAGAACACACACACACACACACACACACAGATTTGGTTTAATATAAAATTTTTGCGGTGTGTGTGTGTGAGGCGCTATGTACTATGGCTCCGTGTAGCCAAATTAAAGTGACCACAACGAGTACCTGTGGAAAGGTGTAGCCAATAAAGCCTTACCGAGAGACATACATATAGATGTGTTTTATGGCAAGACAGTGGCTCATCAACCAACATTTATGGCTGAAATTATCCACGGCCTCGGGTTCTTGATATTTATCGAATTTAATGTGTGTTTTTGTGGGGTTTGTGAACTGAATAAGGAATTAATTGAAAGAAAACGGATGCATGAAATTAAAGAAAATGTATTCGTATTTTTTTCAAGGGATACTGCTTGAAAATAAAAGAATGTGGTAATTTTGTTTTTTACTGTTGGTGGAACGAGAAAATTATATATGGTAAAAAAATGTAAATCGAAATGAAAGTCAAGTAGTTTTGGTGTAATTTTTCCGACATTTACAAGATGTTATTTATTTATTTATTTATTTATTGATGTTTTGTTAGGTTATAGTATCCCTAGCTTATAATAATAATAATAATAATAATAATATCGTCCTACATCATTCACTATTCAATTAATATACAGAATTTTACACTATTTCTTTCTTTTTTTAAGAGATAAAGAATTTGTTTGAGGGGATTTTTTTTTGGCTTAAATTTCCCGCCAAAATTACCTCAACACTCTTGCTCATTATGTAGTTGAGAAAGATTGAGGTTTTATCATCTATTACAGAATTATCTTTGTATCATTTAGCGTATTTTCCTGTAGTTGTTCTGACAGTTTATAACGAAATGCAGCGTTCGTGAGCAACAACCCTACGAGTAGTGAGTGTTGGCAGTCATTGGTGGAGGTGTATTAGGAGAGGGTGCAGGGACTTCTCTCTTTCCTGGAATATAAATAAATGTGTTATATCCCTGTACAGTTAGATTCGTGGGATAGGTTAGGTTAGGTTAGGTCCAGGTTAGAATAGGTTAGGTTAGGTCCAGGTTAGGTTAGGTTATATCCTCAAGGCCAGTGGTCCTCTAACTGAAGCGGCGGGAACCATCTTACTTCAATTAGACAAATAAAACATGGTAGTGGATATAACGGATACAGTACAAAGCTCTATAGAACAAAATAGTAACCTAATGGGTGGTAATAAATATTAATGTAATGTAAATTGTGTTTTACGTTCAACAATACACAAGGAATGGATTACTTATGAAATTCGAGACTGAATATCTTTGTATTTTTGTGAAGTCTGGTTCAAATTTATTTACATCTCCCATAAGTTCTGTTGTGTGGTTGTTGGGGGGCCTTGGGCGCAGGTCTTATTGTTTACATAAGTCTGTTGGCATCTTATTTCTCCCAAAGCTCCAACAATGACTTGGCTGTTTTGTGAGTGTTTCAGGATATTAATCTACAGGTCCAGGAACTACAAGTGTGTTCCAGCAGACCCCCCCCCCCCCTCAATATATAACTGATAATTACTGATAGCTTCTGCTTACAAAGAAAAAGATGTTATATAAATGAGAACAATATTTTCCTACTCTGAATCTCAGAGAAAATCAGGCTGTAAATTCCTAGTGTTATCGTTAAACTCTTTATATACCGTACAGTATTTGTGATGTTGTCGGCTGCCTGGCATAATGTTTCCCTGTTATAAACCGTAACATATTAGGTGTTTGGTGCATCAAGTGTTCAAACAGCGTTATCTTACCTTATCGGCCTAGTTGACCGCTCATAACATATTTTGGATGTTATGCTGGCCGCAAATATACATTAACTGGCCGCAAGCGGCCGCAAATGTGAGGGTTACGGTCTCCCTGATTTAGACGCTACAGTATTTTGGCAAATGAAAATGCATTTTATGCGAGCCACTTTGAGGCGTTCACACTGCACACATCTACTGTAGGTTCATAGAGGAAAATGGGAGTTAATAAGTTAAGGAGAACCTAGGTCTACTGTACAGCGGGTGGTAGTGACCGCTATACGTGGTCTGGACGTACTGGCCACAGGAACGGTGTGCATTTGTCACTACTTATTGAACCAGAGTAATCCAATTATATGAGGCTCCTCCACTGTGTATACCAGGCGGCGTGTGGGACCCAAGTAAACTCGCTATATATATATATATATATATATATATATATATATATATATATATATATATATATATATATATATATATATATATATATATATATATATATATATATATAGTTTTATTTTATGATGGGAATTATATACTTATTTTATTGTATTTTTTATTTATTATTCATATTTTTATTTATCTACTTTTGGATTTATTATTATTATTATTATTATTATTATTATTATTATTATTATTATTATTATTTCACTTGGCTGTTTATCTAAAGTTTTATTTTGTTTACCTCCCACAGGTCCGTTGTTCGTAGCTGAACTGTGGGAACAATATGAAGAGTACTTGGACCAGTACCAGGAGGCAGCCAGGTGAGTGTGTTAGAGCAGGCGAGTGTGTTAGAGCAGGCGAGTGTGTTAGAACAAGTGAGTGTGGTAGTCAGTGTCCCATTACCACCATATGCTGGGTCTTTGATAGTGCTGTGCTCATTGGGTATAGTGATTTATGTATGCTGATGGTGGAGGGAGGGAGGGGGTGGTAGAGGAAGGGAAGGGATGGCAGGTGGTTGCACGTAGGTGTGTGGTTAGATGTGTGCTTTTAAATTGCATGGGTTTGTGTGTGTATGTGTACGTGTGTGTGTGTAAAGGAAGCGGACACACACACACGCACACCAACACTGCCGCTGTGGTAATCTAATTCGCCATAAAGGTTGATTACCTGTATTATCTCACCTGTAATGTAGACGTTAGGAGCGTACACTCTCGACCTACATTATAAACTACACTACACTTAATGACGTTATATGCAAAGCTGGTGCGGCAGTAGGCAGGTCATTTTGCAGGGTTAGGTTAGGTTAGGTTGGGTTAGTTAAGGTTAGGTTAGGTTGGGTTAGTTAAGGTTAGGTTAGGTTGGGTTAGTTAAGGTTAGGTTAGGTTGGGTTAGTTAAGGTTAGGTTAGGTTGGGCTAGTTAAGGTTAGGTTAGGTTGGGTTAGTTAAGGTTAGGTTAGGTTGGGTTAGTTAAGGTTAGGTTAGGTTGGGTTAGTTAAGGTTAGGTTAGGTTAGGTTGGGTTAGTTAAGGTTGGGTTGTGTCAAGTTAGGTTAGTTTGGGTTAAGTCAGATTAGGTGAGGTTAAGATAAGTTAGATTAAAATAGGTTAGGTTAGTTAAGGTTAGGTTAGGTTGGGTTAGGTCAGATTAGGTTAGGTTAAGATAAGTTAGATTAAGATTGGTTAGGTTAGTTAAGGTTAGGTTAGGTTAGGTAGGGTTAAATTAGGGAAAAGATCAATAGTAGACTAAGGAGAGACTAACTTGAACGGGGACCTTACCATAGAGGCCCTTAATAGACTGAGTTCCATTACGAGATCACATTTAACGAAGTCCAGTTATTTGACGGGAAATTGTAAACTAGTGTCCCGATAAAGCTCAGGTATAGCGGCGGCGGCGTGATGTAGTGCTGATCGTACCTATGAATTATGTGTGAGCGAGTTTTAATGGAGATACTTAAAGCCGTGAGTTAAATTCCTGATGAGTTATCGCCTCGCTTTACCATTTCCGCCTCGGTAACCTCATGTGAGCAGCCTATAGAGTTCTAGCACTCAAAGCGATCAGGAGGTAAGGGACAGACAAGACAGACAGACAGACAGACAACCAGACAGACAGACACTTCTTGGTGGATAATAGTGAAAATGGTGCTCTGTTTTAATAATAATAATAATATTAATTAACGGTTTATTGAAAGAGCTTACATGGCAGCCAGAGGCTGAAAATATACTGATTACATGTTGGGGAATGGGTTGCGAATTACAAATAATGCTACAAGTGACACCATTGACACCGATAAGACATATAATAACTTAGATGGGGATCAGCTCAAACTACAGTTCATTTCAGCATAGTGACAGTGTAGGGAGCAGTGTTTACTGGGAGTGAATACACTGATTTATTACATGTTATTGATAATTTTTACAATGGTTGGGACTGGGCTGTTCTTATAGCGATCAGTTCGTGCACGTATGGGCTGGATGCGGTTGTGGTGTCGAACAGCAATTCTCGGACAGGGGATCTCAGGTGGTAGTAGGGGCCGGTGTCGGGGATGGTGTAGAAGCTTATGAATGTGTGTGTGTGTGTGTGTGTGTGTGTGTGTGTGTGTGTGTGTGTGTGTGTGTGTGTATATTAAGACTCGCCACCAATCATATTACCCTTTTATAATGCCCGGTATTCTGACGCGACGCGTTACAGGAAACGATTTATTTACAAAGATGATGACGTCATTTCCCTCATCACTTCCACCTGAGGATGTAAGGAGCTACACCCCCCCTCCCCTAAACTATCTCACTTAAACGACTACAGAAAAACGTAGGAGTTGGCCAAGTCAGCGACGAAATTGGCCCGACATCTTCTATACTCTGATGATATTGTCTCATTACTATAGTTATTTGAGGGGAGGTGAAGAGCTGCTTGGTTTGGTTAGGTTAGGTGAAAAGCTGTTTGGTTATGTTAGGTGAAAAGTTGTTTGGTTAGGTTAGGTGAAAAGCTGTTTGGTTAGGTTAGGTGAAGAGCTGTTTGGTTAGGTTAGGTAAAAAGTTGTTTGGTTAGGTTAGGTGAAAAGCTGTTTGGTTAGGTTAGGTGAAAAGTTGTTTGGTTAGGTTAGGTGAAAAGCTGTTTGGTTAGGTTAGGTGAAAAGCTGTTTGGTTAGGTTAGGTGAAAAGCTGTTTGGTTACGTAATCTTTGTGTTTTTGTCCTTTTTACTTATTTATTTGTCACATTCTTGTCGTGGTGATGCGTAGCACTGAAGAAACATGACCTTCACTCGTATGACCTTTGGGCTTCACCTCCTGTGACCTAAGGCTGAGGGGGTCAAGGCTCAGGTCATCATTGCTTCTCAGTTTATTACAGATGATAGCCACCGTGACTTCCGCTTTCATCTGGTTTTTTTTTACGACAATGAGATCATCTCCTTCAGTAGTGTGTGTGTGTGGCTGAATGCGTCCGACACCACACCCGCCTGAGACACAGACAGACAGACAGACAGACAGACAGACAACAATTGCCTTAACTACCTAAAGTGACTACAACACAGGATGCTACAAATGACAGCTTTTTTCTCAGCTTGGTCTTCGATTTCACGCTTGATAGATAAGTGAAAGCTGGTTCCCAAAGCTTGAGGGTCTGTTACTACGGAAACACCACACGTATTATTGAGCACTATACTTGACAATGTACCCCCCCCCCTCCATAAGTGGAATTAGGTACTCATTCAGAGATACTGTAAGTGATTTAAGTGCTCTGAGGTTCGAACCAGTGACTCGTAAGATAGGAGGTGAGTTTTGTATCCACTCAGCCTTCACAGTCTATATAGATAACTGTATAGGTATTTATTCAGTTGTCATATTAGTTCACATGGGTTTGGGATTTATATAAACAGTTTATGTATATGAGCAATGATAAAATACCTTAGCTAACCTAACCTTCTCCTCAAAGACTTAATTAATGATGGGAATATGTTGTGTAGCCTCAGTGTTTATGACTCAGTGGGGGACAACATAGTCACGAGGAGGACATGTTATAGGTGACACTGGTACCTCATGTAGTGGTGCCACATGATATGGGTGGTGTCACAGGCGAGACGGTAGGCCCCAGTTCACTCGCCTGTCCATCTTGTACCACCTGTTAAATCCCTCGGGCCTGTCTTATAAGTCGAAACAGTTGTGAATTTTTACTATTTTGTTACAAAAAAATACGAAGAACAGTTTTGTTTATCTCGGGGTGAGGTGGGTAGGGGGGTGAGGAGTGGGTAGGGGGGGTGTGGAGGGGGAGGGGGTGAGGAGGGACAAGAGGGTGGCAGGGGGTCTTTGGGTATTAATGCCCCTAATGCCGCTATACGGGGGGGACATGTGGTCGAGCTGATCTACAATGGTAGTCACTGTATCGCCTCCTCTCAACGCCTCACGTACACATAGTAGGTTATCGCGGGAATGAGAACGAGGGATCTTAAGGACGTGTGGTGTATGGGTGACGCTGTACTTGCTGAGGTGTGTGTGTGTGTGTGAAGGCGAGGGGTCGTGAAGGAACGTCAAGTAAACGTTTACATGTCGTATAGGGAAGATCTTGAGAAACGTCCGGCGTCTGTGTGAACATTACCAATAAGAAACGTTTGATGGACGTTCTGGGAAAGGGGTCCTGTGTGTGTGTGTGTGTGTGTGTCTTTCGAATAGAGGAAACATGGGAAGACTTCAAGTTGTACGTGTGATCGCTACCTGAGATGGTGGCGGTGCGTGTGCCAGGGTGAGCAGAGGGGTGGTGGAGTCGCTCGCTCTAACGTAGTTGATTGTGGCAGTTCACACCATTATCTGAGGCGCCTTGCTGGGCTACCACCTGCGCGTTCACAATTGAGTTTTAAGAGATTTGTGTGTGTGTGTGTGTGTGTGTTTCGGCTTTAAGGTTTTATTAGTATTAGCCTTAAGGTGATCAGACTTTAGCTTGAGAAGACTCCTGGTATAAAATATTAGACTGTGTTGCCCTAGACTTGGTTTAAGACAGTTTCAGCCTCATTTTGTGAATTTTAATCCAAACAGACTTTAACTATATGCCTTAAATTTTGTTCAAGACTTTGGGGGGGGGGGGAATCAGACTTTAATATATATAAACAATTTGATCCTCCTAAGGCTGATTCAGACTCTACTGAGATAGACTTCCAGCCCTTAATCCGACTTAGTTTAAAAAAAAAATTCGGCCTTAACCTGTTAATCTTGAGACTGAATTCTAAAGTCTTAAACTGAGAGAAAAAAAAAGACAATTTGTTTTAGTCACGAGTGCTTGTCTGGACGCGTGAGTTGGGTAGCAGAGTGCAATGAGGAGCTGGAGGCGTGAGATGGGCTGAGGTGGGTGAAGGAGGGACGGGAGGGAGGGAGGAGGGAGTTTATCTCAGTCAGGCAGTCAAGCAGGAAGTCAGTCAGTCAATCAGTCAATTAGAAAGTCAGGCAGTCAAGCAGGAAGAAAGTCAGTCAGAAAATTTATATTCTGGGGATCGAGGAAAATCGGAAACTCATAAGATCTCGTCGTTTCTCAAGATGGAAGGAGGAGGAAGAGGCGGAAGGAGAAATAAGAGGGAAAAGAGGAAGATGGAGTGGGAGAAGAAGGAGGTAAATAATGAGCTAATTACTTTGTTTGCATGTACCTTGATCACCTCACACACACACACACACACACACACACACACACACACACACACACACACATACTGAGCTTATACGCTGCAGTGGCTTATACGACCAAGGCCAAGTAATTTAAGACGATATACCCATAACATTATAAATCTATTGGTGTTAACAGTTAGTGAGGTCCTGTATACAGGTGAGGGAATGTGTGTTAGAGAGAATGGGGAGGTGGGGGGAGGTAAGGAGGGGTGGGGGAAGTGAGGGAAGGTGGGGGGAGGTAAGGAGGGAGGGGGGGTAAGGGAGGGGGGGTTAAGTAAAGGCAGGGAAGGGGAGGATAATTAGGAATAAATTGAAATAAATAAATATTACATTGCACCCGGAAAAAATATGGGATCACCTGAAGATTAGGCACCCCAGTTTATTTCATGTGATGATGAAACACCACAGCGCTGACCTACCCTACCCTACCCTACCCTACCCTACCCTACCCTACCCTACTCTACCCTACCCTAACCCCCTCTAGATAACGGCGTGAGGGTGTTTAACCATCAGGTGAAATAAACTTGGATTGCATAATTAATCTTCAGGTGATGCAAAAAATTGTCCTTCTCTGTAGGAAATTATTTACCACCGTCATCACCTGGGTATTAACATTCTTTTCTGCGTCTTGATTGGTCGCGCTGATTAGTGTTGCAACCCAATCAACGGTGACATTGATATCGGGAGGCGGCTATCGCATATGTCAGAGGGTAGAGGAATTATTGTTGGGTGTTAACAGGAAGAAGAAAAAACAATCCGTCGTAATTATGCAGTGTTTTGTTATCTTGAGGCGTTATCTCAGGGGTTATCTCTTGGGTGTGTTATCTTAAAGAGGTGGGGGGAGAGGGGGAGGTCATGATCAAGTGTTTAGTGTGTGTGGGAGATGGTCAACTCTCTACTAGGGTGTGGGAGACTTCGTTCGTTCTCTCTCTCTCTCTCTCTCTCTCTCTCTCTCTCTCTCTCTCTCTCTCTCTCTCTCTCTCTCTCTCTCTCTCTCTCTCTCTCTCTCTCATCACACCTCGTTAGGCCTACGTAATCAGTGAACAGTAATCCGATCCCGTTATAACGATCACCGCACGACTGGACACCTCGCTTACCTGGTGGAGGGAGGTGGGGGGGGTGTAGGGGAGGGAGGAGGGGGGATGGTCATCTATGTGTGGGCTACCTCCAGGTATGTAACTGCCCAGGACCTCGAGTGTCATACTAATAAGACTTACCGATTAGGACTTCAACTGTCAAGGCTTACCGTTCGACCTATTAGGCTTACCAATGATGCTTCCTAAACAACATATAGTAATAAGGCTTACCAATTAAGACTTGCCAGTAAACCGTCCAAATACGTCTTTTGCAGCAGGACTTACGAATAAAGAAGACTTACCAATTAAGACTTAACACTAAAACTTTCCAATTAGACTAGCCAACCATATGACAGCTGAATGATCGTACACCATCATCATCATCACTACATAAACAATAGACGCGTTGTTATATTTCTAGAGTGGGGGAAAAAAAGGTTGAACATCCGGATTATTGAGAATTCGAACAGATTGAGACTTAAAGGAAGAGATAAATAGGGGCGTGTTTTCTAATCCGTCATCACCGCCATCTGGGGCTGAGGAGAGGTTGACTGTATTCTCTAACTGAAGGGGTCATGTGTGTGTGTGTGTGTGTGTGTTTATTGTTGTAAGTTTTAATAATACACAGTGTAGTATCCTTTATGTATGTGCACTTACAATTAAATAACACACAAATTTTTTAATAATATACATTTAAATTACCTATGATGTGCGGGTGTATTTAAGAGTCCGTGCAATGTTTAATAGTTGCTATGAGTCCACGACAGAGAACTGACTAACGAATTGCGTGTAATGATCATGGCGTGTCAGTTAAGTTACCCATAAAAATCTCGAGGTTTTCTGTGAATTGACAATAACGTCCATTTTCTATGTTTTCTCAGCTATGTCGAATCAAGTATTTTTGTTTGGGTTTTAACGAGTCAACACTACTTATTTATAATATTTAAACATATTATAAGCAAAATACATGAAGCTATCTGTCGTTTCGTTACCGTCATATTTCACCCCCAAGAAAGAGACGGTAAACTAGGTCCTAATTTTTAGTAGTAGGTTAGTATATGCAGTATCTTACTGAACGTACTTAAAAGCGTTGAAGTACTGTAATACACATAAGACTTGACTACCTACGGACCCCTAAAGCCAAGGAACCAACATGAGTCACTTCCCAAGAGCCCCTCCACTGAGATACCATCGTCCCCCCCTCACTGTTTTTATCATTACATCAGCGAAGCTAACTGTTTGTTGCCTTGAGTGCCACAGAGATGGATGGGGAGGTGCTCAAGGTTTTAGTCCCGAGGTGTAGTTAAGATGTCTTCATGGTCATAGGATTTTTTTTATCAATACACTTAATTTTTTTTTATCATTGTTTACTTGTGCTGGACTATGTATATTGTTTTGTATGTATAGTTTATTAATATTTTGTATGTTTGTATTGTCTATGTACGTTACTTCATACTGAACTGTGTCTCTCTTCTCTCTCCTTCCCTACAGAGTCCTCCGGGAGAAGCACAACAACGATGAGGAGTTCGTGGCCCTGTGTAAACTGAGGCGAGGCGCGGCCAAGCACTCCCTCCCTCACCTCCTGCATTTACCGGTCAGTCTCTCTCTCTTTCTCTCTCTCTCTCTCTCTCTCTCTCTCTCTCTCCATACATCATTTGGTGGTTATCTCAATTCACCGATTAATTATTCAACCTATCTCGTTCACACCCCCTTCACTTCCCTAAGATTATCAGTACAGTATTTTGTTTTTCTCGCTTCATCTGATTTACTTAAGCACGTTTGGGTGACAGTGTTGCCATAGCAAACATTGGCAACACTCAAGGTTGTTTGGGGGGTGATGGTTGTTGTTGTCTGACTGGTGAGTTTTAATGTTTATTATTTATTGGAGTCGGAGAGCGATTGTTGTTTTCATATGTGTGTGTGTGTGTGTGTGTGTGTGTGTGTGTGTGTGTGCTTATAGATGAAGGCCTCAGGTGTGTGAGTAAATGTTTATGTTATCTAAATTACGAGAGAATTCAGTTTACTTCTTATTTAATTTATCATTGTCGCCTTGGTCACTGATCTCTGGACATAAACCTTAAGCTGGTTTATTTGGCTGTCATGGATTGCCTATGCTGTTTATGTATCATGTAGGTGTTAAAAGTGGCTGTCACTGAATAAAAATCGATCCGTCTTGGTGTAGATTGTGTTTCAAAAGATATCGTCGTTTTGCTTTTCATTAGTTTATTTATTACATTTCATTATCGTAATATATATTCAACTTATCTTTTTTTTAAATTTCGTATATCCCTTGTAAGCACACTATGTTGAGAACCTTAGTTACCCATAAAACGCTTGAGTAGTGAATAGAAGAAAACGTAAACCGGATCCATTTTCTGTGACAGTCTCTGAGGACAGGTGTGGATGTTTTTACCTGGAATATTTCTGCATTAACTCATTATCTTTTCATGAGATTGTCAAACCTTTGATGTTTTGCTAATGCCTGTATATCGGTCAGATGATCCCAAAGTATACGAGATAAAAGGTTTTCCATTAATTTGTTTCAGAGGAAGTGCCTGGCTTGTGTGTGTGTGTGTGTTTATCTGTATTTAAACAGTGACTGGTAACAGAATATAAATATTTGAACAAGAACTCCGGAAAAAAAGAATCTACGGATATCCTTTTTCCTTGTGGTGTACGCTGTTTGAATACTCTTTACGGGATTATATATTCTAACGATACCGATTTTTTTTTAAATTGGCGAGGAATTGGTATCTGTTATCACCGTGCAAGACGATAATTAGTTCTCGGTTGATTTTTAGTCATGGGTAAAGTACAGAGTCATGGAGTAAATATAAACATTAGCTATTTAATTTTTTTAATGGAGTAGCTATTGATCTTGGCTCGGCTCTCGATATATTCAAGCCAAGAGTGGTGAATACTTGGCCTGGGTACACTACCAACGGCCTTCACGCGCCAGAGGTCAATGTGATTGTGGTACGCATGCGCAGGGGGTCGCAGCGCCACATAGCTTGTAAACCATACTTCACCAGAGACCTTGAGGAGTTCCATTAGCATAAATTGGTTACTGTTTATTTAATTTCCTGTATCATTTGCGGTTATTGTGTACATTGGCAAAGTAGATAAAGTTTAGCTCGCAAAAATAGTCAGCCACTTTTCTTTGAGATTAAAAGAAAAGCAATTTATTCTAAGCGTGAATCTTGTCCTATGTCTATCTAATCATGCTTCTGTTTATTAAAAAACAACAATAGTACTTATATTATTTTACACTTAAATTTTCAACGCTTCCCTCCCTCCCTCCCTCCCTCCTTCCTTCCTTCCTTCCTTCCTTCCTTCCTTCCTTCCTTCCTTCCTTCCTTCCTTCCTTCCTTATCCCTTCCTTCCCTGGAACGAGAGGTGAGGGTTACGTTAGGTTACGCAGTATTGTAGTTGACCTGAGTGAGTTATCCCGTGGGTCTCTGGTCAACACAGGGGAGTCACTCAAAATATTATCTAGATTTTCTTAAGCGAAACTATTCACTGAGAATATTATGCAGTGTTACTTGTGAGAACACTCCATAATTAACACCTATGTCATACCTGCACTTACATCAAATATATACGGTGAAAACTTACGAAATAATGTGGTGGTGAAAATGCTTAACATATCTACACCTCCACCCACCGTCATAATAATATACGTTGCGTCAATTTCCTTTCACTTCAATAAATTTTTCCTTTTCACGAAGACAAAACAATTTATTTATATGAAACAAAGAAGAAATATTCTAAAAGGTTAAGACTGTATTGTAAGTGGTCACTGTTTTGTAATTTGGCGGCAAAAACATAAGGTACAACACGTGCTCTTAATATTGTGAGCTCTGAATCTTGTGTGTGTGGTGATGAAGTGTAAGAAAGACGTGTGGGTGTTGAAGGATTTCGTGAATGTAAGAGTTGCAATATATCAATTTGTAAATGGAAATAAACATGCCTATTATATACCCATTTATGTATAGTATAGCATAGCATAGCATAGCATAGCATAGCATAGGTGTCCCCAAATGTCGTACAATAATATATGCACTACCAAGGCCAGCAGCCACTCCTCTCCACGCTCTCTACAAGGTCCTGTAAGGGAGGCGGCGTAGGAGGCCCTCACGGCTCAAGTCCCTCGACGCATTATACATATATATACTGTATATTAGTGTAGAGACGTCTTTATGTTTGTTACTGTGGAAACTGACGTAGTTGTATGGACGTTGGGTGTGTGACGTGGTGTTTGACTTTTTATATAAGTATTTTTATTTGTAGACAGTTGTGTGAAGGTTGTGGATTGAAGCAGAGGACGCAATTGATTGGTTATCTCTTTCAACTCAGGTATTAAGACAAATCTCCCAGATAGATAAAACTAACCTATTTTCTCCCCCCCTCCTCCCCTTTTCCTCCTCCTTCCTTCCCCTTTTCCTCCTCCTCCTTCCCTCCCAAAAACGATAAAAAAGCAAACTAATTTTTTTCCTCACGTCACAAATCAAGAAAAACACCCCAGGCGAGGTCACACACACACACACACACACACACACACACGCACACACACACACACACACACACACACACATGGCCATTATCTCCGCCACGTGAGGTAAAATTACCTTCACTGGAGCAATACCTGGATTCTTTTTCTTTTTTTATCTACACAAGGTTGAACAAATCTTATGTAAATTAGAGCAGTCCATCATATGTATGAACTCTTTTTAACTCTTTTAATTTGAACCATCACTCCTGCAGCTGGTGAGGGGGGGGGCAGGGGTAGATAATGGGTTAAGGTTTGCCTCTTAATTACCGATAGTACTTACTTCCTCAGGTAACTCAGGTGAAATTTAAAGTAAATTAAATATTACCTGTAGACTGACGTAACTTTCGTGTGTGTGTGTGTGTGTTGAAAGGTCGACATATTGACCCAAAGAGCGTTGTTCTATACACGTTGCTGTCACTTTGTTGTGTGGTTAGCGTGCACAGTTTTACCATTCGTCAACAGCTGATGTATCCAGTAATTATCTTCTGTAACTTTATTCTCTGACCTTTCAAGTAGTGAAGGTCACCCCAAGGTCACTTTTAATACACGATGGTGAAACACTCGCTAAGTATTTCTGTGTATCAGTATATAAGTGTATGTTTATTAGTGGTGCATTATGGACGTCCTTGACACAGCAATGAGGTCAAGTGGGGTCAAGTGGGGTGTAAATTAATATAAATCACGTGTGGAAATGGTGTCACGATTCTCCCCTGACTGTACACAACACACACGGTAAGATGACTAAGCGTAAGATACCAGAAGACTGTTCCTAAACCAGAGCAGCGGGTGAAGGTGATATCAATTTGGGGGTCAGTGTAGCGATAAAACTTGGTGCGGGGAAGTGAAGTTTATAGTGTTATAGAGAAGATAAAGTGAGTCGTAACAAGTGAGGGATTGATGCCGAGTTGTTTGTTTTATAGTAAATAATAATAAGTCGGGGTCATGGCTATTATTGGGGGAAGTGCTATAGATAGACTAACCTGCTGTAGAGAGGATTGTGTTGTGGAATTGCGTCACCCTTATTCCTCTCTCTCTCTCTCTCTCTCTCTCTCTCTCTCTCTCTCTCTCTCTCTCTCTCTCTCTCTCTCTCTCTCTCTCTCTCTCTCTCTCTCTCTCTCTCTCTCTCTCTCTCTCTCTCTCTCTCTCTCTCTCTCTCTCTCTCTCTCTCTCTCTCTCTCTCTCTCTCTCTCCTCTCTCTCTCTCTCTCTCTCTCTCTCTCTCTCTCTCTCTCTCTCTCTCTCTCTCTCTCTCTCTCTCTCTCTCTCTCTCTCTCTCTCTCTCTCTCTCTCTCTCTCTCTCTCTCTCTCTCTCTCTCTCTCTCTCTCTCTCTCTCTCTCACATTATATTCTTCCTCACCTAAGACCTAAGAGGATCTGTACTCACTCGTATCGTGGTTATGGGTCTTGAAGTCTTGAATCAGTCCACCGGTTGATATTCTTGCTGACAGACACACTGACACGTACAGCAGTGTGTTGAATTAAGCGAGCCTTTCTTAGTCCTTCAGCTGTCGTGTCATATTATCCTATTTGTCTCGCCACCATGGACAGCTGTGGATAATATGTTCTTGTTTATATTATGTTCTTGCAGATAAAATGTTCTTGTTTATAAAATGTTCTTGCAGATAAAATGTTCTTGTTTATAAAATGTTCTTGCAGATAAAATTGCTGGTCTTGTATCTATATTGGGTTTAATTCTGATCAACGTTGTATTTCATTATATTGTCTACACAGTTTAACATAATTTAACACAAAAGATAAACCTTAGTAAATATTGTTAAAACCACAATCAGAGACTTACCTGTTTGACCCTCAGGTGCATGTCAAGGATTAAGAACATAAGAACATAAGAATGGAGGAAACTGCAGCGGGCCTATTGGCCCATACTGGGCAGTCCCGTTTACACCCAACCCCTATTGCTCATATGAACATCCAACCTATGCTTGAAGCAATTCAGCGTATTCGAGTTAATGATGATATTTGGTAACTTGTTCCATTCATCCACTACTCTGTTTCCAAACCAGTGTTTACCTATTTCACGCCTAAATCTAAATTTGTCTAATTTAAAACCATTGTTACGAGTTCGCTCCTGGTTGGATAGTTTGAGTACCCTTGTAATGTCCCCTTTGTTTAGCCCTGCCTTCCACTTATACACCTCTATCAGGTCGCCCCTCGCTCTACGTCTCTCAAGGGAGTGCAAATTAAGATGCTTTAACCTGTCTCTATACTCAAGGTTCCTAATGCCCGGGATTAGTCTTGTCATTCTCCTCTGAATTCTTTCCAAGGATTCTATAAAATTATCGAGGGGAAATTTTGTCCTGAACTGTATATTTTGTTATGTTATCCAATTTGCCTCACTACATGCATTAGGAGGATGATATATAACTCCGGTATTCTGGTAAGTGTAGTGGTGGAAGGGGTTGATGGTGGTGTTGATGCTGTCCTTGTCTGGTCATCATCGTGTCCAGTCTTGTACTATTCGTGTTTCATTCGTCTTGATTAACATGGGTAAGGTTCGAATCTTTTGCCCTTGATTTAGATGTTTACAAATGTCTTTTAATTTGTAGATATATCAGTGTTTTGGGAGAGTCTGGGAACCCTGACCTGACCTGACCTGACCTAACCTAACCTAACCTAACCTAATCTAACCTAACCTAACCAAGTAAAACAAACTTTCTTACAAGCAAATTTTCGAGATGTTTAGAAGGTCTCCGTGTAGTCAGGCATTATAGGTCTTTTGTGTGTCAAACAGTGGAACTTTTATCAGGTGTTTTAGTGACCAGGAAGAGTTCAGGTCGTAAACTGAGAACGAATTTAAATAGGAATTTTACAAGACTTTTGCTGCAGGTTTAAAGTCTGATGGGAAGGTGTTGAGAAATTAGACTTATTTTTTTTTTTTTGCTGGAATGACTTGTGTCGGGGTCTGTTATCGCTTGTGTTATATTATGAACGCCTGGAACGACAGTGAAGAATTTGGCTCTGTAACGTGTCGCCATCTGGTGGAGGAGGATGAAGCAGCGAGTCACGACACAACGGAATGAAACTAAAATCGAAACAATGATAATGTAAAAAAAAAATCAAATAAAAAGATAGATATTATGAAGTGTCTCGCTCCAAGTGTATTAGTGTTTTGTTGGTCAGTTATTCAGCTTTCACATTGGCGCCTCTTGTGAATCAGAAGTTCATAACATAAACCGTACTAAATATAATCACAGTGTCTTGTAGGTTTTTTTTTATTATTATTTCCGGACATATTTACCGCAAGCTCTAGTGTTTTGAACTAACTCTACTTATTAACACTCCATGACAATACCTGGAACATTTCTTTTTTTTTACCGTCATGATGGGGCAAAGTGACTCGAGATTAAATTAAACAAAGATCTGCTGGGGATGTAGCTGATCTTCCCCCCGTGGTACCAGAGAGTAAACACCACAGGGGAGGGGAATGTTGTTACCCTGGGATCCTCTTACACCTTAACCTGTTGCCTCGTTCCCCCTTTGACTGGTCCAGTGTTATGGCAACTTCGCTCTACTCAAAAAAAAAAAAATTCATGTGATTTTTTTTCTAAGAGGATTATAGTCCGTTACTTCTCTCTGTTTTGTCATCTAGGTCCATTTGTATACAGTTTTAAAAGTCAGTGTTCATTAAAGGAATTGCTGGTTAAAGTGAGGGAATATTTTAATGGAGAATTTTCGACTATATTCTTGTGCCGTAACTAAGTGAACGTTGAGTCTTGGTGTAATTTGGATGGTTGGATGCTGTTCTCTCTCTCTCTCTCTCTCTCTCTCTCTCTCTCTCTCCCCGTCTTCTCTTACGAGGAATATTTATCTTCCGAACCCTTGTAAATTCCGGACCCAGGACCTTCACCTGAGCTGGGTGACCGTGCCAAATTAACCTTGGGTGTGGAGGTGTGATTCATAATCCCCGTAGAGATAAGGTGAATATCACAAAGGTCGCGGGTGTGGGCGGGTGTGGGTGGGTGTGTGGGAGAAGGAGATGTGTGTGTGCAAGGAAGGGGTGTGGGAGATGTGTAGACGAGATCTGTGGTCCAGCATTGAGATCTGCTGAAAGGCACCTGTGAATTATGTGAAACTTTTTGTACCTGAGAGGGAGAGTGGAGAAGGGGGGTAGGAGGGAGCATCTGTTGGGGTGGGGTGGTGAATGTGAAAGCACTGAAGGTTCGTTTTGGAGTCAGCTATTAACTTGTAAACGCTAAATGTACCTTGTAAAGATGTTTCACTTATGACTCATCAATGTTTGTTTGTTTTTTCGATTTTTTTGGCGGGGATATATTTTTATGGGGTCTTTTATGAGGTGTAAATGTTGTGGTTTGTCTCTGGTTTAATTAGTATACCTGGTTTGTTTTAATGAAGTGATGCTGTGAGTAAAATAATTATATACCAGTAAGGTTGAGTGGAGGTCTTCATGGTCGATTCTCTCAGCACTGAACGGGGATAATCTCGACTCTAACAACACCCGCTTTAAATGGTTGTTCACTCTCTGCTGAATACCAAGTTGTTTTTGTGGTATTCAGTTGTTTCAGTACTTTTTTTTTTGTTTAAGAAGTACTTTTCGGTGTAAGTTGTCATGTATATATTTCGACCAACATTGTTAATAAGTTTATGTATGTGGATGCGAGTGGGCGTGTGGGTGGGCGTGGCGGGTGGGTGGGCGTGTCTGGTGGGTGGGCGGTAAAAGGGTGGAGGATTGAAATGAAGGTTATTGAATTGACTCGTAATCTGATAGTGTTTTTATCACTGGCAGTTTATTATGAAATGTTGTGGAGGCCTTTGGTGGCGTCCCTCCATTATGGGGTATTGTAAGTGTGTGTGTGTAATAATAATAATAATAATTAACGGTTTATTGAAAGAGCTTGGCAGCCAGAAGGCTGAAAATATACAGTTACATATTTGGGGAATGGGTTACGAATTACAAATAATATACAAGTAAATATGAGTGACACAAATAAGACATATAATAACTAGATGGGGAAAAGCTCAAACTACAGTTCATTTCAACATAGTGACAGTGCAAGGAGTAGTGTTTACTGGGAGTGAATACACTGATTTATTGGTAAGTTATTGATAATTTTTACAATGGTTGGGACTGGGCTGTTCTTATAGCGACTGGCCTGTGCAGCACGTATGGGCTGATGCTGCGGTTGTGGTGTCGAAACAGCAATTCTCGGACTAGGGATCTCAGGTGGTAGTAGGAGCTGGTGTCGAGGATGGCGTGTAGAAGCTTCTTACCACTTGGTGATGAGGTCGTGGTGATGGTCAGTGAGAGTCGAAAGGGTCAGTGTGCTGGAGCGCTTCTTGATATGTGGAGTAGGGAAGGAGAGAATAATCTTTGCATGCCCTCTTTGTCTGTGTGTGTGTCTGTCTGTGTGTGTGTGTGTGTGTGTGTGTGTGTCTGTGTCTGTGTGTGTGTGTGTGTGTGTGTGTGTGTCACCTTGGACTGAAAATTGTGTATATATATTTTTTTTCTTTCTTCGGTTAGGTTAGGTTGGGCAGGTGGGGTGTTTGTTTGGTTAAGTTAGATTGGGTGGAGGTTAGGTTAGGTTAGGTTGGGTGGAGGTTCTTCAGGTGATCCCATTATTCTATTTTGGGAAGTAATTTAGTTAAACTCTCACCAGGTATTAAGACACACACACACACACACACACACACACACACACACACACACACACACACACACACACACACACACACACACACACACACACACACTCAAATAACTTCTTGTTGGTGAAAAACTCTGGCGTCTCAGGTAGGTTAGGTTGGGTCCTCATCACAGGTAATCAACTCCACGCTAAATTACCTTCAGCTCGTTGAGTGTAACTGGATCCACCTAACCTCCCAGTCGAGGAACTAAGACGTCATGCAGTTAATGATCGTGACTGGCAGCAACAGTTTCCAGTTAACATATTTTTCTTTGGTAGGAACAGGGGAATTGGAGAGAGAGAGAGAGAGAGAGAGAGAGAGAGAGAGAGAGAGAGAGAGAGAGAGAGAGAGAGAGAGAAAGAAGTGAAAGAGCGAGAGAAGAATGTAAGGGTAAACGGAGGGAAGGAAAGAAGATTGGAAAGATAGAGAGAGAGCGAGCAGGGAGGTCAAGTAGAGGGAGGGAGAAAGAAGGACAGGGAAGGAGGGAGAAGGACAGGGAAGGAAGGAAGGAAGAAAGAAAGAGGACAAACACGAAACACATTAAATCATCCACATTCCTCCGCTACAAAAAACAAAAACAAAACAAAAAGGTGAAAAATTACCTTCGTGCAAAATATAAATCAGATCAGAGTGAAGAAACACCTCATTACCACCAATTACCACAGGTGTCGTTATCTCCTCGCAGGTTAGGCCGCCATTAACCCCTCACCCTCCCCCTCCCCTCCAGGTCAATCAGCTGACCTCTCGGGTGACGTCATCATTTTGTATGCTGTTAGTGTCATTCTCGTTATTGATGCTCGTTTATGAATTATTTTTGTTTGTTTGTTTGTGGTCTAATGTTATGGTGGTTAGTTTCTTATTAATTTTATTGTTATTGTTAATATAAAAGAATTGGAAAACGACTCAATTAGACGATAAAAATAATTACGACACAGTTAACTCCCACAACAATACGAACAATAATTACAAAAATAAAAGCCACATCGCCAGAAAACTAATAAAAGTCAATGTCAATAAAAAAAAGAACCTGAACAACAATAGCAGTAATGTTCTAGACTGTAACCCTGTACCTCTACCACTGATTGGCTGCTGGGGCGTGAGTATGGTGAGTCAAGAGTGAGTCAAGCTTGTGAGTAAGGCGAGTCATAGTCAGGCTTGTGGGTCAGTGAGTAAGGCGAGTCAGAGTGAGTCAAAGCTTGTGAGTCTGAGAAAACAATTCCGTGAGTCAGTGGGTGCAGTCTCTTGAGTTAATGAGTGAGTCAATTGTTGAGACAAATCCGTGAGTCAGATGAGTCAAGCCCCGTGAGTCAGTAAGCGTCATGACTGTTATTGTTTGTGAGTATTTTAGCCCCAAGGACGTATAGGCGTGGTTGGGGAAGGGGGGGGGGAGATGAGGGGAGGAGGTGGAGAGGGGGGAAGAGGAGGGAGGGGGAGATCTATCTTACACTGTCATCAACACTTCCTGTACTGAGTGTCTGTAAGCTTGGCAGTACAAGATGTTTGTCCTATAGGTGTAAGAACTTGTGGTACCTGTCGACTTTTGTTACGATTTGTGTCATGTTTTGTTAGAGTTTTCGTGATATTTTCCCATGGTGTTGAAGATTAGTGGTTACTTAATGCCCGTCATACGAATTTCTGTGACTTTGGACTGAACGAATAATAAGCTCAGTCGACTCACTATACAATAATATCAGTCGACTTACTGTACAATAAACTCAGTCGACAGAACAACAATGCATTCCGTCATTTGTGTTACAGCTCAGTGGCATTTCCGATCGAAGATTACAGGCCTGGTTCTGGACTGTAGTTAAGAGTTATGCTGACGGAGGGTGTGGTGAGACTTGCCCACAGCTCTACGATCAACTTGTCTTTTTTTTTCACCAATTTTATTTTTCTTCCAGGTACTAAGACCCAGGTTATGTAATATAGGTAGTACATGGTTTTTTTTTTATGTTTCCTTTACGTGTTCTGTTCGTGTATTTCGTCAGGAATTATATTGGATTATCTATAGATATTTCAATCAAACTCGGTTATATTAAGTTTATTTGGTAATTAGTTTGACTGTGTGTGTGTGTGTGTGTGTGTTTATTTTCGGGCAATACCTCCACTGTCCCATACTTGAAACCCATGCACTCTGGCCCACACCTGAACTCTGCACCCCCCTGGCCCACACCTGAACTCCTACCCCATTTACGGAGTTGTGGTGGATGTCGTCCTGTGGCGGTCACTGCGTTAATGTACACCTCCTCCTTCCCTCCCCTAGCACTGTCCCGGGTCACCTAACCCAACACCCATCGAGATCATATGACCCATCGTCCAGGTAAACTGTCAAGGGGGTACAGGTGAAGTGATAGGTAAGGTCACACACACACACACACACACACAGACACACACACACACACACACACATCAGATTATATTCATCATCTTCCAGGTATGGCGCCATAATGATAATATATTTAACAGAAACACTCCTACTTCTCCACCCTCGTGTCTCAGAGCTCATAATATACATCATTATATTAACATACTGTCATAATATAATCTGTCATACCATACTAACATATACAGGAGTGGAGGGGTAGGGTGGAGGGGTAGGGTGGAGTGGGGTAGGGTGGAGTGGGGTAGGGTGGAGTGGGGTAGGGTGGAGTGGGGTAGGGTGGAGTGGGGTAGAGTAGATCTTCATCCTTCTATCTGTAACAGTTCAATATCAGTTAAAAATGTTCGATTCATATTCTCTTAAGGTCTTCTGAAGATCCATTAATACTCGTACTGACTAAATGTAAACAAACAAGAGAAAGGTGAAGAGAAGTTTAATCTATGAAGAGAGAGATTATGAGGGACAGGTTCTCTTTTGTCTCTTATAGTTTCCTCTGTAGAATATAGAAAGAGGGAGAGAGAAGGGGGTTATCTCTCTCTCTCTCTCTCTCTCTCTCTCGTGCATTGTTGTGGGGTGAAAAAATTGATGTTTTTTTTTTTAGAATTTCCTGCAGTATGGAAATACCAGCTGAACTATAGATGAAATACCAGCTGAACTATAGATGAAATAAGAGGTGAACTATAGATGAAAATAACAGGAACTATAGATGAAATACTAGCTGAACTATAGATGAAATAACAGCAGGAACTATAGATGAAATAACAGCAGGAACTATAGATGAAATAACAGCAGGAACTATAGATGAAATAACAGCAGGAACTATAGATTAAATAACAGCAGGAACTATAGATGAAATAACAGCAGAAACTATAGATGAAATAACAGCAGGAACTATAGATGAAATACCAGCTGGAACTATAGATGAAATACCAGCTGGAACTATAGATGAAATACCAGCTGGAACTATAGATGAAATAACAGCTGGAACTATAGATGAAATACCAGCTGGAACTATAGATGAAATAACAGCTGGAACTATAGATGAAATAACAGCTGGAACTATAGACGAAATAACAGCAGGAACTATAGACGAAATACCAGCTGGAACTATAGATGAAATAGCAGCTGGAACTATAGATGAAATAACAGCAGGAACTATAGATGAAATAGCAGCTGGAACTATAGATGAAATAGCAGCTGGAACTATAGATGAAATAACAGCTGGAACTATAGATGAAATAACAGCAGGAACTATAGATGAAATAACAGCTGGAACTATAGATGAAATAACAGCAGGAACTATAGATGAAATAACAGCAGAAACTATAGATGAAATAACAGCAGGAACTATAGATGAAATACCAGCTGGAACTATAGATGAAATAGCAGCTGGAACTATAGATGAAATAACAGCTGGAACTATAGATGAAATAACAGCAGAAATCATAGACGAAACACCAGCTGGAACTATAGATGAAATAACAGCTGGAACTATACATGAAATACCAGCTGGAACTATAGATGAAATAACAGCTGAACTAGATGAAATAACAGCAGGAACTATAGATTAAATAACAGCTGGAACTATAGATGAAATAACAGCAGGAACTATAGATGAAATAGCAGCTGGAACTATAGATGAAATAACAGCAGAAACTATAGATGAAATAACAGCAGGAACTATAGATGAAATACCAGCTGGAACTATAGATGAAATAGCAGCTGAACTATAGATGAAATAACAGCAGAAACTATGATGAAATAACAGCAGAACTATAGATGAAATACCAGCTGGAACTATAGATGAAATAACAGCTTGAACTATAGATGAAATACCAGCTGAACTATAGATGAAATAACAGCTGAACTATAGATTAAATAACAGCAGGAACTATAGATAAATACAGCAGGAACTATAGATTAAATAACAGCAGGAACTATAGATAAATACAGGAACTATAGATGAAATAACAGCAGAAACTATAGATGAAAATACAGGAACTATAGATAAATAACTACGGACAAAATAACAGCAGGAACTATGGATGAAATAACAGCAGGAACTATAGATGAAATAACAGCAGGAACTATAGATGAAATAGCAGTTGGAACTATAGATGAAATAACAGCTGGAACTATAGATGAAATAACAGCAGAAACTATAGATGAAATAACAGCAGGAACTATAGATTAAATAACAGCAGGAACTATAGATTAAATAACAGCAGGAACTATAGATTAAATAACAGCAGGAACTATAGATGAAATAACAGCAGGAACTATAGATGAAATAACAGCAGGAACTATAGATTAAATAACAGCAGGAACTATAGATGCAAATAACAGCTGAACTAGATGAAATACCAGCTGGAAACGAGTGAAAAGAATAGCTGAAACGGCAGACAAATAACAGAAAACTATAGGACAAATAACAGCAGTGAACTATAGATGAAATAACAAGCAGAACTATATGTACAACAGCAGGAACTATGATGAAATAACAGCAGGAACTATAGATGAAATAACAGCAGAAACTATAGATGAAATAACAGCTGAACTATAGATTTAACACAACAGCAGGAACTATAGATGAAATAACAGCAGGAACTATAGATGAAATAACAGCAGGAACTATAGATGAAATAAATACAGGAACTAGATGAAATAGCAGCTGGAACTATAGATGAAATAACAGCTGAACTATAGATAAAATAACAGCTGAACTATAGATGAAATAGAAGCTAAACTATAATAAAATAGCAGAAACGGTAGATGAAATAAATAGCAGGAACTATAGATGAAATAAACAGCTGGAACTATAGACAAATAACAGCGAAACTATAGACAGCACAGCTGAACGGTAGACAAATAACAGCAGGAACTATAGATGAAATAACAGCAGGAACTATATAGATGACAACAGCTGAACTATAGATGAAATAACAGCTGAACTATAGGAGAAATAAACAGCTGAACTATAGATGCAAATAACAGCAGGAAACTTATGGAGATGAAATAATAGCTAAAACTAGATGAAATAACAGCAGGAATTAGATGAAATAACAGCAGGAACTATAGGATGAAAATAACAGCTGAACTATAGATGAAAGAATAGCTGAACTATAGATGAAATACCAGCTGAACTATAGATGAAATAACAGCTGGAACTATAGATTAAAATAATGCAGGAACTATAGACAAATAACAAAGCAGGAACTATTGATGAAATAACAGCAGGAACTATAGATGAAATAACAGCAGGAACTATAGATGAAATAACAGTAGGAACTATAGATGAAATAACAGAAAGAACTATAGATGAAATAACACAGAAACTATAGATGAAATAACAGTGAACTATAGGATTAAATAACAGCAGGAACTATAGATTAAATAACAGCAGTGAACTATAGATGAAATAAATATAGGAACTATAGATGAAATAACAGCAGGAACTATAGATGAAATAACAGCAGAACTAGAGATGAAATAACAGCAGGAACTATAGATTAAATAATAGCAGGAACTATAGATTAAATAATGCGGTGAACTACAGATGAAATAACAGCAGAACTATAGATGAAATAACAGCAGGAACGGAGAGATGAAATAGAAAGTAGCTGGAACTATAGATGAAATAACAGCTGGAACTATAGATGAAATAACAGCAGAAACTATAGATGAAATAACAGAAAGAACTATAGATTAAATAACAGCAGAACTATAGATGAAAATAACAGCAGGAAACTATAGATTAAATAACAGCAGGAACTATTATAGGATGAAATAACAGCAGGAACTATGCAGATGAAATAACAGTTAAGGAACTATAGATTAAATAACAGCAGGAACTATAGATGAAATAACAGCAGGAACTATAGATGAAATAATTATGGTAAAAACTATAGGATGAAATAACAGCAGTGAACTATAGATTAAATAACAGCAGGAACTATAGATTAAATAACAGCAGGAACTATAGATGCAGCTAGCGCAGGAACTATAGATGAAATAACAGCAGGAAATCTACAGATGAAGCAGCAGCTGAACTATAGATGAAATAACAGCTGAACTATAGATGAAATAATTGTGCTGAACTATAGATGAAATAACAGCTGAACTATAGATGAAATAACAGCTGGAACTATAGATGAAATAACAGCAGGAACTATAGATTAAATAACAGTAGAAATTATAGATGAAATAATTAGCCGGTCTTTATAGATGGCAGGTGCTGGAACTATAGATGAAATAACAGCAGAAACTATAGATGAAATAACAGCAGAACTATAGATGAAATAACAGCAGGAACTATAGATGAAATAACAGCTGAACTATAGATGAAATAACAGCTGGAACTATAGATGAAATAACAGCTGAACCAGATGCAGTTAACAGCAGGAACTATAGATGAAATAACAGCAGGAACTATAAGACATGATGAAAACTACTATAGATGAAATAGCAGCTGGAACTATAGATGAAATAACAGCGGACTAGATGAAATAACAGCAGAAATCATAGACGAAATAACACGAGAAAGATCGAATCAATCACAATGTTTACATTCCCAAAATGACGTCAGCTGAGAGACAGTCAGACAGACATTCCCCCGTCATTTTTTTTGAGTAAGACATTTATATTTTCCCAGTAAGTCAATGTTGATGTTTGTCTGTCAAAATTCCAATATTATAACGTCACGGGAGGATTAGTGGCCCTGGTTTTTAGAAGACTGTTAAGATGACCATGACTACACCTCTCAGCTCTGTGTCTTTGGGGTAGAAACGAAGGAACTTGTATTGTAATTGTTTTGTTTTTGTGATGAGATAAAACATAAAAGGTGTTAATTAGTTAATATTCTTAACAAAAGGTGAAAGTTTGTGTAGTAGAGGTCACGGGTTATTAAGGTCACGGGTTATTAAGGTCAAGTTTCTCTTTTTTATTATTTTGTTTTGTTCACTGGTAATCTCTTGAGTACGTTGAGTGAGTTCAATGAATAAGATGTATTGAACTCTTGAATACGATGCTAACATTCAGAGTAGGGTATATTATTAACCCCTTGAGTACGATATAGAGTACAACGAATTAGCCCATTGAGGTAATATTAATACCGAGTACAATGAATTAGCCCCATCCGACTTACATCTCCCTGAGGAACTAAAGCACTGATGAAGATTATAGGAGGAGAGTGTTGTGTGTGGTGTAGGGAAGAATGTTGTGGTAGAGGCTGTGTGTGTGTGTGTGTGGTGCTTAGGTGTTTACTTACGATCAGCTGTTAAGTTGTTCTATATCACGCTCGGCAGGTCCTTCTGTGACGTCATTTGGCGGGAAACCCAATAGACAATGATGATTTGGGTTAGCACGCTTGAAGAAGGTTCGTTGACAGGAAATTTTACTGGGAGAAAGTTTTACTCGAAGTTTTATTTACATGAAGTTTTGCCTCACAAAGTTTATTCACCAAAAGTTTTACTCATACAAAGTCTTACTCACAAAGTTTCAGCATAATGACCCATGAATCTCCCATTACACAGCTGTTTAGGGCGTCTGGTTGAGTCAGAATTGGTCATGGGATATTTATTGGTGGTTTCTATGGTTACCTCGTGCTGGTCATCTTAGGAGTGTGTGGTGACGAGGACCAACGTGAGGCAGGGACTGGGGACGTGTTTCCAGGTTCACTCTTGTGGTCTTCCGTCGCTGTGGAAACTCCTGCAGAAAATGAGTTTTGTTTTTTGTTTTTTACGCCGCTTTGTATGTGTGTGTGAGCAGTGGACCCATGATCCAGGAAACGCAACTCCATCTACGCAATTTCCGGGGTGACATACATGGTGTGACACGGTGGACACGCCCAAAGACGGACACGGAAACATGTAGTTTTGAACACTGGACCATAAGTGCAGTATGTGTGTGTGTACGTATGTGTGTGTACGTATGTGTGTGTACGTTCCCCCGACACACCTGCACCTGATAGCTTTCACCAGGTATATATCCCCGAGGACTCAAATCACCTGTCGCCTCGTTTACCTGTGCAATTTCCTGCAATTTTACGCCAACAGAGCTCGTGTGCTACCTGGCCCCTCTTCATATACCTTATAAAAATAATTAGCCAATATCCGTAGTGTGGCTCAGGTGCGTGTTTTCGGTTATGATTAATTGCTCAATATCCGTAATTTCATCCACGTTCGTATTTTCTTTTATAATTCTGTTTTTTTTTCCAGTTGTGTTCATATAATTTTTCCTTAGTGTTGTCATTAGGTATATCTTTTATTTTTTACCTTGATTGAAGTTCGTGTGAATTGTTGTTGTCTTTGGGTGGTGGGGTTAGTAGTGGTAGTGATTGTGGTGGCAGTAGTGGTGGTAGTATAATTGGATGCCACTTCGAAAAAATTAGTTAGTAGTTGTGGTGATAGTAGTGGTAGTACCGTAGTAGTAGTTGCTGTAGTAGTAATTTTGATCGTGGTAGCATTTATTATAGTAGCAATAGTGGTATCAGTAGTAGTAGTAAAAGCGATAGTTTTTAGCTCCACTACTTGTAATTTTTGTAGTACCATAGTAGTAGTAATAATAGTAGTAG